GAGGAGGAGGAGGAGGAGGAGGAGGAGTAGGAGGAATACCCCCTCCCCCTCCAACTTATGGTGGTGGTGGTGGTGGTGGTGGAAAACAGCCCCATTATTCCCCAGGGGCAGTTTCCCGCCCCCGGTCCACGTGTCTGATGGCCCCGGGGGCCCGACGACAGGGCTCCGGAGGCCGACGTATCGAGGAGAAGAGCGCCGGGACTGAAACCGTCACGTGCTCGGCGACCCGAGGAGGGCTGATCGGCAGCGAGCCCAGGGTAGACGTGATCCGAGGCGGGAATTTATACACGACCACCGCCTGCAGAGTCAGTTTTCGGAGCCTAGGCGGTGGATACGGACATGTTCGGGCCCTTAGTGGCCCAAATATATCCACCAGGCGTTGGATATGGATAAATCCCCGCTTCGCACGCGAGAGGGAGCGAGCCGTCTCGGAAGGCTCGGAAGACCCAGGGCCTTCCGAGAAGTTTTCCGAGCCTTTTCACCAGAGACATGGAACAATTTCTCAGAAGTCCGATGGCTTCCGAGAAGCCCCGCCGCCTGCTGGGAAGGCCTTCTCCCTCTCCCTTTCTCCTCAGAGGCACGCCGCCGAGAGGTGGAAGTCTGGACTCGAGGCCCCGCCGCCTGCTGGGAAGGCCCTCTCCCTCTCACTTCCTCCCCAGAGGCGCGCCGCCGAGAGGCGGAAGTCTGGGTTCGAGGTCTCCGGTTTTTCAAGGCTTCCGAGGTTTGCGGGCACCTTGGTCGGTCCCTGGCGCTTTTTTCTTAGCGTCGGGATGCCCACCAGCAGCTGCGCTTCGCCGAGGGCATTCCAGGGGTGCCTGGATCGCCCCGCCCGAACGGCCGCCAGAGGGCCGATGCACGACCCGAAAGCCCCGACAGCCCACCCCGCCCAGAAATGAGCGGACCGGCTATCGTGGGCCTATCGGCGATGTGTCGCCGATTCCGGGGGAGTCCAGGCTTCCCAGGACTCCTCAGGATGCGTTGCAGCACCGGCGCCTCGCCGAGAGCGTTCCCGGGGTTGCCTGGATCGTCCCGCAAGGCCTCCGCAGACCTGAGTCTTGACCCGAAAGACCTCCGCAGGGGTCGGAGAGTCGCGCCGCATCGCCCAGGAGCCCGATCTTCGCAGCGCTGACGGGTCTGCTGCACTGCTGACGTCGCCCATGCATCGCCGACGCGGCGCGATCCTCCGATCCCATCTACTCAGACCCCATGTGGGAGGCCTCCAGGGAAGGGGGAGGTTCGGGAGGGGGAAGCGTTGGGGCTCGAGGATCGACGGATTTCGAACCGTATTTGGAGGTTTTTGGGATTTCTGGAGGCTTTTCAGGACGGGTTGTCTCCATCAGCCCCGCCTCGCCGTACTCATCTCAGGCCACCCGATGCCCGAGTTATGGCCCGTAGCTGCATTGGCGCACGTACGCGGTGACAGTGCTGACGCGTGTCAGCCAGTCTTTTCTCATCTCCTTTGGGTGACGAGGGTTGGGTAGCCAGGTCCTCCCTTTGCGGACCAGGGTTTGGGAGCCACCAGGCGGACTTGGGGGGCCTGTTGAAGTCAGCCGGGACCGGACATTTCCGTGGGGCTGTTTTCGGGGAACAACAGGCGGCATAAACATTGAGGGCCCAAGAAGGCGCATGGAAGAGACAGATGCGACTTGAAGATGTCCCAGACCAGCCCCACGACTGCCCAAGGCATTCCAAGAAGGATCAGTGTTCGAAAGAGAAGAATATCAAACAGCTGCATGATTATCAAGTTCCAGAGGTCCGTGTGGATTTCCTGGATCGGCGTCGGAACCCATTCCTGGCGCGCGAAGCGTGCCGGGGGCGCCGCCAGGTGGTCCAACATCGATTCTTTCTTATGCCTATGCAGCATGATTGTTCCTCTACGTCTGCACACAACCCCACCCCCAAGCCTGACCGTGCAGGCAGGCGTAGGACGAAGGCTGATCTTTCCAGAGCGTTCTGGAGAGCTCTCGTGTCGTCCTGGCGGCGCTCCGTAACGGCAGTGACGCCCGATACGTGCTCCAGACCCGCGGGCTCTCGGAGATGCCCCATTCGTCTCGTCCCGATGTTGTCGTCTTCCTGCGCCCGTCGTGTCGGGGGGTGGGCGGAGGGGAGGGGAGCGGATGGGGGAGGGGGGACCAGCAGGGGTGGTCGTCTCGATTTGACCCTGACGGCTGGGGCGGCCTTACTGTCTTATGGATACTTGCAGGCGGACCCCCCGAACTCATCGTGGGAAGAAACGGGCTTCCCAATAAAGCCTTCGTGCTTGTGTCGGGGAAAAGGCTTAGGGGGAATGCATCGGCCCGCGATCATCCACATCGCCGATAAGAGGCACGATTCCCCAACACCGCTCAGGAACCTTCGGCTTCGCCATCGGGGGCCTTTCGCCGATCTGACGGCGACGTTTTGCCGAATCCAGGTCGATATTCCCCCCCCCCACACCATTAAGTCGGGCCTGTTCCTTTACAGGGGGAATATTCAAACATAGTCAAACATAGTCAGGGGACGTATTTTTTGATCATTTTGGAGTATGTTTGATTACTTTTTATTTCCAACCCTCCTGCGTTGGGTACTCGTTTTGAATAGAGCACTGCGGTCTCCGTTCTCCTCCTCCCGCCCCCCCCCTCTCTTCCCTCCTCCTCTCCTCTCTTGCTTGCCTTCTCCTCCTCTCTTCGCTCCTCCTCTTCTCTTCTCTTGCCTTTCACGTCATCCCTGGCGGGCTGCGATCTGCGGAACTGTCACCACTTTCGAGGGCTGCTGGTGGGTCCAGCGGAGTGAGGCACCACGGGGACTCAGATTAGACCTCGCCATCCCTGGGGGGGGGGCTGCGATCTGTGAAACTGTCGCCACTTTCGAGGGCTGCTGGTGGGTCCAGCGGAGTGAGGCACCACGGGGACTCAGATTAGACCTCGCCATCTCTGGGGGGGGGGCTGCGATCTGTGAAACTGTCACCACTTTCGAGGGCTGCTGGTGGGTCCAGCGGAGTGAGGCACCACGGGGACTCAGATTAGACCTCGCCATCTCTGGGGGGCTGCGATCTGTGAAACTGTCGCCACTTTCGAGGGCTGCTGGTGGGTCCAGCGGAGTGAGGCACCACGGGGACTCAGATTAGACCTCGCCATCTCTGGGGGGCTGCGATCTGTGAAACTGTCGCCACTTTCGAGGGTTGCTGGTGGGTCCAGCGGAGTGAGGCACCACGGGGACTCAGATTAGACCTCGCCATCCCTGTGTGAAACTGTCGCCACTTTCGAGGCTGCTGGTGGGTCCAGCGGAGTGAGGCACCACGGGGACTCAGATTAGACCTCGCCACCCCTGGGCGGCTGCGATCTGTGAAACTGTCGCCACTTTCGAGGGCTGCTGGTGGGTGGCCAGCGGAGTGAGGCACCACGGGGACTCAGATTCTGACCACGAGCAATGCTCGCGTGCCCTTGCTCTGCGGTTCGTGCCACGTGGCGCTGCGACTCGAGCTGGCGGTCGTCCTTCGGACCCGCAGAAACATCTGCTGAGCTCGATGAGCTAGGGGAACTACAGGAAAGAAGTGCAGGAAACGGAGGCCGGTCATGCACTCGCCGATACCTCGTTGCTCTGTCATCGTCTTTGCTGTTGCATGATCCTTATCTGGCCTGCCGGCGCCGCGGCTCGAGCTGGCGGTCGCCCTTCGGGCCCGCGGGAACATCTTCTGAGACAAGTGGACGCCGCCGCCTTACTTGCAGGCAGCGCATTGCATTCGCGGACAGCAGCATGGCAGACCGCAGTGAGATCCTCAGTCGCGTGGTGTTGCCAAGCCTGGTGGAGACGCGCGTGATCGACCTGAAATCCCAATCGCGCGTGCACTGTACCTGCGTGGCGTTCAGGCACGCGCGTGATGCTGCTCGCTCCGCGTTCAACCAGTACGTCGCCAGTGCAACTTTGGACGATGGACAACCGATTGATGATACGCGACCCCGGCCTTGAGTTTCTTTCCCGCGGGCCGCCCGCAGACCTGGCGGCGCGCCTGCGAGCGTTCAGCTCCCGCGCTGAAATGTGCGGGAAGGAGGCGGAGAAGCTAGCGGGCGAGCTACGCCTCGCTCGTTCCTTGCACTCTAAACAAGTTTTATCATGTGGAACTCTGCGACGACATGGCGCAGGCAGCGCTGCGGGTTTAGCTCGCACTTGAAAAACGCGGCAGTCTTCTGTCTCCTCCCGCCACTTTCATCGTCGTCCTATTCCCCGCCTCACCTTCTCCATGCATGCTGCTGCTTCCGCGATGGCCTTTCGCCCCCCCCGCCCTCCATTCCATCCCTCTCCTACCCCTCGTTCCCGTGCCCGTTCTTCTTCGATCCTGGGGCCTCAAGCCTCGTTCTTTCGATCGTCGTCCTGTGAATCGTGCAACGCATGCGCATCCCATGTAGCTTGCGCAGCAAATCGCCGCGTCTACACTGTCGTTGTTCCTGCTAATGTTGGCATACTCCTCTTGCCATTTGATGCGCGTGGGTTGGGTACGTCGCAGGGTAATTCCCAACCCTCCTGCGTTGGGTACTCGTTTTGAATAGAGCACTGCGGTCTCCGTTCTCCTCCTCCCGCCCCCCCCCCTCTTCCCTCCTCCTCTCCTCTCTTGCTTGCCTTCTCCTCCTCTCTTCGCTCCTCCTCTTCTCTTCTCTTGCCTTTCACGTCATCATTGGCGGGCTGCGATCTGCGGAACTGTCACCACTTTCGAGGGCTGCTGGTGGGTCCAGCGGAGTGAGGCACCACGGGGACCCAGATTAGACCTCGCCATCCCTGGGGGGGGGTTGCGATCTGTGAAACTGTCGCCACTTTCGAGGGTTGCTGGTGGGTCCAGCGGAGTGAGGCACCACGGGACTCAGATTAGACTTCGCCATCCCTGTGTGAAGCTGTCGCCACTTTCGAGGCTGCTGGTGGGTCCAGCGGAGTGAGGCACCACGGGGACTCAGATTAGACCTCGCCACCCCTGGGCGGCTGCGATCTGTGAAACTGTCGCCACTTTCGAGGGCTGCTGGTGGGTGGCCAGCGGAGTGAGGCACCACGGGGACTCAGATTCTGACCACGAGCAATGCTCGCGTGCCCTTGCTCTGCGGTTCGTGCCACGTGGCGCTGCGACTCGAGCTGGCGGTCGTCCTTCGGACCCGCAGAAACATCTGCTGAGCTCGATGAGCTAGGGGAACTACAGGAAAGAAGTGCAGGAAACGGAGGCCGGTCATGCACTCGCCGATACCTCGTTGCTCTGTCATCGTCTTTGCTGTTGCATGATCCTTATCTGGCCTGCCGGCGCCGCGGCTCGAGCTGGCGGTCGCCCTTCGGGCCCGCGGGAACATCTTCTGAGACAAGTGGACGCCGCCGCCTTACTTGCAGGCAGCGCATTGCATTCGCGGACAGCAGCATGGCAGACCGCAGTGAGATCCTCAGTCGCGTGGTGTTGCCAAGCCTGGTGGAGACGCGCGTGATCGACCTGAAGTCCCAATCGCGCGTGCACTGTACCTGCGTGGCGTTCAGGCACGCGCGTGATGCTGCTCGCTCCGCGTTCAACCAGTGCGTCGCCAGTGCAACTTTGGACGATGGACAAGCGATTGATGATACGCGACCCCGGCCTTGAGTTTCTTTCCCGCGGGCCGCCCGCAGACCTGGCGGCGCGCCTGCGAGCGTTCAGCTCCCGCGCTGAAATGTGCGGGAAGGGGGCGGATAAGCTAGCGGGCGAGCTACGCCTCGCTCGTTCCTTGTACTCTTAAACAAGTTTTATCATGTGGAACTCTGCGACGACGTGGCGCAGGCAGCGCTGCGGGTTTAGCCCGCACTTGAAAAACGCGGCAGTCTTCTGTCTCCTCCCGCCACTTTCATCGTCGTCCTATTCCCCGCCTCACCTTCTCCGTGCATGCTGCTGCTTCCGCGATGGCCTTTCGCCCCCCCCGCCCTCCATTCCATCCCTCTCCTACCCCTCGTTCCCGTGCCCGTTCTTCTTCGATCCTGGGGCCTCGAGCCTCGTTCTTTCGATCGTCGTCCTGTGAATCGTGCAGCGCATGCGCATCCCATGTAGCTTGCACAGCGAACCGCCGCGTCTACACTGTCGTTGTTCCTGCTAATGTTGGCATACTCCTCTTGCCATTTGATGCACGTGGGTTGGGTACGTCGCAGGGTAATTTTTCATCCAAAATCGGCCTGTAGGGGAACAGGCCCGACTTAACCCCACCATTGGAGACCCTGGCGCGGGGCGTTCTGGTTGGATAGCCGCCCGCGCCCCGGGAGTCGGCCGAGTCGAACGATGCGCGCCGCAGAAGCCGCAGCCGCCCCGGGCGGAGCGGCTCGGAAGCCGGCGCGCAGGAGGTCGCCGCGGCGCGAGCCCGCCGTGGCGCCCAGAGGGTGCGGCCCGGCCCGGTGGGTGGTGGTGGTAAGGGCCGCGCGCGCCTTCCTCTACCGTGCTCGGGGGTCGCTATGGAGGCAGGTGCTCCCCCAGCTTTTCGCTCAGTTCTGGAGCCCCTGGTGGAGTGGGGGATATCGACTACAGAACTGATTGGCCCCAACATTGCTGTTCCCCATCCAGCATACGACGAAAGCGTCGAAATTTCGCAAATCAATTGACAATTGGGAGTATATGTCCGCAGATTCGCCAAGGAAGCTGATTTTGGGGTAAATCAATTCTGCAGTCGATCCTCTACTCGACCTGGGGCCCCCCAGGCCTCGTGAGGGGTGCTCTAGAGGCCGTGGGGGCCTCCCTGGAAATCCCGGGGGCACCATTGGGCCAGGGGCACTTCTAGCAACACCCGACGTGCCGCGCAGGTGTGGAACGCTCTGGATGCCGGCAGAAAGCTGGCGTTGGCGGAGGGCACCGCCAGCTTGGAGGCACGCCCCTCCTGCTCCGCAGCGATTCTGTGTCTGTCTCTCTGTCCTCCTCTCAGTGCCTCCCGGCGTTGCTCGGACGGGCCTATAGAATCGAGATAAATCCGTTCCAGAGCGTTGCGGAACGCTCTCAGAGCGTTCCAAAACGCTATGAAACGGCCTCGGTGCCCGATGCATCTTCCAATCCCGCCGATCCTCAGAGATTCCCGATGCATATTGGTCCGACTTGGTTTCGATTCTGCCTTCGTCTTAGTCGCGGACAACGTCTCGGCATTTCTTTCTTGCTTCGACGAGGAAACAACGCCGTAAACATACACCTTCGGAGCTCCGCGCGGATTTCTTGGATCTGCGGTGGGACGGCGCCTCTGGCGCCGCCCCTGGCCCCTGGCGCGCGGAGCGCGCCAGGGGCCAGCGCAGATCCATGAAATCCGCGTCGACAGTTGGGGCCTGTGCCGTGTCTTCTTCTTCCGCTGGTGGGGGGCCCAGCCTCCAGGGCCCGGTCTCTGGGCGTCCAGGGCGATCGCGGCAGAGCGGCCGGCGGGGCAGAGGAACGCCCCCGCGGCGCGGTCGTGGGCTCCCAGGGCCCACGGCGGCGGAGCTCCGGCCAGATACCTCAATTCGGGGGCGAGCGAGGGCTAGACGAGTTCGAAGAAGAAGAAACGCCATAAACAGAGACTTTTGGCGCTCCGCGCGGATCTCTGGGATCTGCGTTGGGATCCCCCTGGCGGCGCCTCTGGAGCCGCCCATGGCGCGCTCCGCGCGGCAGCGAGGGGGGTCCAGCGCAGATTCGAGAAATCCGCGCGGAGCGCCAAACAGTTAATGTTTATGGCGTTTTCTCTTCTTCTAAATTCGGCGGGGTCAGAGTAATGGCAAAGGTGCCCAAATCGCTACCCCTGCCTCGCTTTCACCTTTTTGGGTCTCTCGGGAGGTCCTCGTCGCCACCGCCGGATTCGCCTTGCAATTTTGGTCCGAACGCACCCCAGGAGAGGTCTGGGGAGCAGCGGGATGGATCGGATACCTCTTGGTTTCCCATCGGCGTGTGGCACCGGCCTCGGCGTTCTGACCATACCTCAATTCGGCGGCAAGCCAGGGGGGGAGAGAAGGCCGTCTCAGAAGGCGGCGGGGCTTCTCAGGCGCCCTCGCGCCTTCGAGAAGTTTTCCGTGTCGTCGGGGAAGGCTTGAGGAGGAGGAGGAGGAGGAGGAGGAGGAGGAGGAGGAGGAGGAGGAGGAGGAGGAGGAGGAGGAGGAGGAGGAGGAGGAGGAGGAGGAGGAGCCTTCTGAGAAGGCCCGCCCCTCCACACTTCCCCCCGGGCTCGCCGCCGATCAACATTTTCAAGGCCCGACCACAACTCAGGAGTGGAAATTATCCCTGCAAAGCAACCTAACAGCGATGTGTAGCAGCATATCTGGAAGCATTCCCCTTAAGATTCAGATGGGAATCCTGTTGTAGAATTCTGCAGTTCTCGCAGTCGTAGTCGCATTCGCGATGACAGTCGCAGTGGCAACGGCAGTCGCAGTCACAGCCTCAGCCTCAGCCTGCCTCAGCCTCAGCCTCAGCCTGCCTCAGCCTCAGCCTGCCTCAGCCTCAGCCTCAGCCTGCTTCAGCCTCAGCATCAGTCTGCCTTCAGCCTCGGCCTCAGCCTCAGCCTGCCTCAGCCTCAGCCTGCATCAGCCTCAGCCTCAGCCTCAGCCTGCCTCAGCATCAGCCTGCCAGCCTCAGCCTCAGCCTGCCTCAGCCTCAGCCTCAGCCTCCTGCTTCAGCCTCAGCCTGCCCTCAGCCTCAGCCAGCCTCAGCCTGCATCAGCCTCAGCCTCAGCCTCAGCCTGCCTCAGCATCTGCCTCAGCCTCAGCCTCAGCGCTCAGCCTCAGCCTCCTCAGCCTCAGCCTCAGCCTTCATGCAGTCCTGCAGCCTCAGCCTCAGCCTCAGCCTGCCTCAGCCTCATCAGGCTCAGCCTGCCTCAGCCTCAGCCTGCCTCATCAGCAGCTCAGTCAGTGCCTCCAGCCTCGGCCTCAGCCTCAGCCTGCCTCAGCCTCAGCCTGCATCAGCCTCAGCCTCAGCCTCAGCCTGCCTCAGCCAGCCTCAGCCTCAGCCTCAGCCTGCCTCAGCCTCAGCCTCATCCTGCTCCGCCTCAGCCTCAGCCTCAGCTCAGCCTCTGCCTTCAGCCTCGGCCTCAGCCTCAGCCTGCCTCAGCCTCAGCCTGCATCAGCCTCAGCCTCAGCCTCAGCCTGCCTCAGCCTCAGCCTGCCTCAGCCTCAGCCTCAGCCTCAGCCTCAGCCTCAGCCTCAGCCTGCTTCAGCCTCAGCCTCAGTCTCGGCCTCAGCCTCGCCTCAGCCTCAGGCTGCCTCAGCCTCAGCCTGCATCAGCCTCAGCTTCAGCCTGCCTCAGCATCAGCCTGCCTCAGCCTGCCTCAGCCTGCCTCTGCCTCAGCCTCAGCCTGCTTCAGCCTCAGCCTGCTTCAGCCTCAGCCTCAATCTGCCTTCAGCCTCGGCCTCAGTCCTCCTCCTGCCTCAGCCTGCAGTCTGCATCACCTCACCTGCAGCCTCCTGCCTCACACAGCCTGCTTCAGCCTCAGCCTCAGCCTCAGCCTCAGCCTGCGTCAGCCTCAGCCTCAGCCTCAGCCTGCCTCAGCCTCAGCCTGCCTCAGCCTCAGCCTCAGCCTGCCTCAGCCTCACCTCCTCAGCCTGCTTCAGCCTCAGCCTCAGTCTGCCTTCAGCCTCGGCCTCAGCCTCAGCCTGCCTCAGCCTCAGCCTGCCTCAGCCTCAGCATCAGCCTGCCTCAGCATTCAAAATGTGGGAATGAACACGAAGTGGCCTACAGTTGGCTCCGGGCATTCAAAATCATGCCCAGGAATGGAGTTCTGGGAACTCGAAGACACGAAGTGGCCTACAGTTGGCTCCGGGCATTCAAAATGTGGCCCGGGAATGGAGTTCTGGGAACTCGAAGACACGAAGTGGCCTACAGTTGTTGGCTCCGGGCATTCAAAATGTGCCCGGGAATGGAGTTCTGGGAACTCGAAGACCACGAAGTGGCCTACAGTTGGCTCCGGGCATTCAAAATCATGGCCCGGGAATGGAGTTCTGGGAACTCGAAGAGCACGAAGTGGCCTACAGTTGGCTCCGGGCATTCAAAATGTGGCCCGGGAATGGAGTTCTGGGAATTCGAAGACCACGAAGTGGCCTACAGTTGGCTCCGGGCATTCAAAATCATGCCCAGGAATGGAGTTCTGGGACCTCGAAGACCACGAAGTGTGTAACTGTTTGCTTAAGTCGACTTCCGCGGCTTCTCCCCGGCACCCGCCCAGACCCCCCTGGGGAGTCAAGATGCTCTCTTTTGACACTACTAGAAACCTATCAGTCTTCGCTGTTAGGTAAAAACACACAAACACAATTAATCGTCGATTCCCAAGAAAATATGGGAAAATATGGGAAGTGGGGGGGGAATACAGAAACCCAGAAAATATGGGAAAATATGGGGAATATTTGTATTTGTATGTATTTATTTGTGTGTCCTGGGGCCCCTTCAACAAGGCTGTTTAGCTCGGTTTGGGCCGTGGTTTTGTTTTTTTGTCTCGTTGTTCGTGTTTGGTTCGCTCCGTTTTCCGCTGCTGTTGTTTTGAACGCCCCGTTTCGTGTTTCGTTTCGCTTGGCACCGCTTTCGTCTTAAACGTTCGTTGTAAGCGTTGGGCTTCGTTTCGTTTTTCGTTGAGATGTACATTTCGTTTTGATATCGGTGTGGTCGGTCCTTGAATGTTTCCCGTCTCCACCCCTGGTCATGGCAGGGTGCGCATGGCGTTCGCGCCCCCAATTCGGCACCCCCTCACACTGATCGTGGCCCCACAGGGGGCTCCCCCGAATGCCCCAATGACAGGTTCCGCATGTCGTACCCGCCCTCAGTTTGGCACCACTGCCCCTCACACGTTTCGTGGTCCCATAGTGAGCTGCACATACGGCGATACCCGCAACTGCATATGATTGGGTCCTACGTCAAGCACATTTCTGTGTTTATCTTCGTTTTCGTTGTTGGGTTGCCAGTGTTGGTCAACATTCGCCAGGCAAAGGGTCCAGCCCTTTCCAAACGCATGGCGACTATCAACGGGACCGCTCAATACACAAGAACACGTTTTGGAATTTCAGTTCGCCTGAACGCTCCGCCAGAGAACATCCACGCTTACGCGCGCTCCAAGACCCCCACGCCGATTAAGTTGCGAAATGTTTGTCTGTGCGTTTGTTGTTGTGTGTGTGTGTGTGTGTGTGTGTGTGTGTGTGTGTGTGTATGTGTGTATGTATAGTATGTGTTTTTGGAGCCCTCGCATAGATTTGTTTCCAGTCATCCTGTGGTGTAGGGTCTTCGTTTTGAAGAGACATCGCCCCGCGTCTCACCTCCCGCTGCCCCTTTTTCCTCCTCCGTCCTCCCATCCCTGCCTCTGCCCTCCGCGCGACCATTTCGGCACATCCCTCAGACGTTTCGTGTTCCCATAGGGAGTTCCACCCAGGGCCCCAGTTGTAGGGTTGGTATGCGCCTCCCCCCCATCCATTACGGCACTCTCCTCACACGTTTCCTCAAACGGTTCGTGGCCCCATAGGGAGCTCCACCCAGGGCCCCAGTGGAGGGGCTCGCATGCGTTTTCCCCGCTTCTTCTGGCACACCATTCACACGGTTCGAGGCCCCACAGGAAGCTCCACCCAAAGGCCCCCGTTGCCACCGGTCGCACGCGTCTCCTCCGCCCATTGCGGCACACCCCTCACACGGTTCGAGGCCCCACGGCGAGTTCCACCCAAGGCCCCAGTGCCACCGTTCGCATGCGTCTTCCCCGCCCATTGCGGCTCACCCTTCACACGGTTCGCGGTTCCACAGGCAGTTCCACCCACGGCCACAGTGCCATCGATCGCATGCGCCTCCCTCATCCATTACGGCACGCTCCTCACACAGTTCGTGGCCCCACACGGGGCTCCACCCAAGGCCGCATTGCCACCGTTCGAATGTGTGTTTCCCGCCCGCTATGGC